CACCCTAATTTACGAATAAATTCTTTACAAATCCTACCATGTGGATTCATGGATTTTTTTTTCACATTCTGTCTCTCACAGTTGAAGTGTACCTCTGGGGCAAATTACTGACCTCTGGGGGAACTTGCACAATCGGTGGCTGACTAAATACTTTTTTGCCCCACTGTAATCCTACCCCTACCTTGAATCCTTGTGCCACTCCTACTCCACATCTCACTGTCCTTCCTACACCACCCTAACATACTTCTCTGCCTCTCCTTACTTCCTCATACAGTCCCTCTCTAGATCCACAAAGAGAAAGTGAAGCTCCTTCTGACCTCCCCATACATCTCCACCAGCACACTCAAAGCAAACATCCCATTTGTAGCGCTCACTCATAGCATGAAACCATACTACTGCTTCAACAACTCATACCTCAGATGCCTATGACTCTTTAGCTGTTATTTACCCATTGTTTTCTTTTTAGTTCTACAGAACTCCACAGGCATCCTCCGTTACTCTTGCAAAATGTAAAAATGCAGACAGACAAGCACACAAACACAGATGCCACATAAGTAAAAGCCTGGCAGTTAAGGATGAGCGGGGTCTTACTCAGAGCCGGGCTGGGAGTCTTAACTGGTTCATCTGCATGAAGGGAAAACTACAATTCAGCGAGAAAACGTGAAACGTGTAATTGAATAAAACTGTGTGCAAATGAGCATATACAGACACACACACACACGGTATGAGAAATAACAAGACACAAGGGAGGTCGTGTGCAACAGTGGGATTGGGAAAACTAAGCAAATTAAACAAGCTTCTGGGAGCAGCAGCACTCATTAAAGAGAAGAAAAGACAGACTGCAAAGGAGGGAAAGGATCATCTGTCAAAATCAGAGGCACATTTACTGCAGCAAAAAAATAGCTATCATCACCTTGCTGCAGCAGAACAGGTTAGCAACTTACTAAAGCATAGTAGTAGCAGTACTAGCATTACAAAATGCCTTTGCATAAACACAAGCACTCAGTAACAACTGGAGTACACCCTGCAATTTAGGTGAACTGACTGCAGTCATTTTTAATAAGGGGCAACTGTATGTGCCTGATGTGTAATCCTTTATTACACTATCCTGTACTCAAGTAAGGGGAAATAAAAGTCTCTGTAAGGGCCCAGAAACAGTAGAGGTGGGTGGATCCATTAAAAAAAAAAAATCGATATCATCACTGGTATCGGTATTGGTACAAGCACGATGGGATCGATACTTTGCTTTAATCTTCTTTGTTCAGTATGTAGCTCACTGAATTATGTTAATCATTTGCTAAGTCGCTGCTTTTCCCTACATAAGCTCTTTATAAGTTAAAAGTATTAGTATTGGTAACATTGGCAGTGTTTACTTAGTATCGGATCTATACCAAAATTTGCAGTATTACACAGCACGAATAAATATGCTGTTTAACATCACATGAGCTTTGCTTTCCAATTAGTGTTTAACACCTATGGGGTGTTTTGTGTGTGTGACGTAATAATAAAAATCCCAATGTCCGGTGTACTCCAGCATTAAACCATCTACACATGCTTACCCTGCTCCAGTGTTTCCCCTTGCTTTTCTGTGGCGACAGAGGTGCCACATCCCATGATGGCTAACAGAGAGGGTCCAGAAGGGCTCACATTAGCCGCTTCTTCCAAAGCTGTTTGGTGGCATTTGGTGACACTGATTGATATGAGAACGTGCTCCCTTTATAGAGACAAATCGTTAAAGCAGTACTCTATTATCACGTTACCTTCAATGTATTCAAACAGTGCAGGATTGGCTTCAACTTACAAAAATAAAACAATACAAAAAAGCGACAGTAGAAATTATCCTGCTAGTTAATAGAGTCAAATCATACCAAAATAAAATAAAAACGCTGCTCATTGTCTTACTGCGCGTTACCTTTTAGGACAGCATCGTATTCCAACGAGGTGTTTGTTTGGCAAAAATCAGTTCAAACCTACCTGTAGCTCTTATCCGCGCGACAGGGTCATGCAGTTCATTCATACCAATAATAATAAAATACGGTTGCGCTCTAAATTTCCTTAATATGAAATCGATTCGAGCGTAAAAAACAGGTCGATATGAGGACCGGAGCGTTTCCGGAGCAGCTCTACATGCAACAGGAGCTACTGGTGCAGGAGGAGAGCTCACAGAAGAGGCGGAGGCATCAGGTGGAGTGAAACCTCAACCCGGGAGGGGCCGGTGTTTGACGAGTGGGAAGTCTCGTTTTTCCTTTGACAGCGTTTTAAGTTTTCAGATGCAGTTTAATTAGCTTGTTAACCAAGTATGATAAGAAAACTGTATTCCAACTTCTGTCCTCCTGAAAACAAACATGCATTTACTCAAAATAGTCTGGTTTTCATCCTAGTTATGACAAGAGAGCCTTTATTTGGGGGCAGCCTGGAAAAATCCCCCCCACCAAGACACATTTGCACTTAAGGTCATGCCAAAGCATTTCCCCAGGGTTAAGGTCATGACTTCGCCATTTCAAAGGATGGATTTTTCCCTTTAAGTTTACTGATGTTTGAACCATATTGTTGAATCATCCAGCCTCTCCTGAAACTTCAGATTGGGCTGAGAAAGCAGCTGTAAAAACCTACTTCAGGGTTTCTAAGCCGCTTCAGTGTGAGGATGTTCATACAAAACAGTATCATTTTGTTTTTGTAGTCAGTGATCCTGAAGCCCGTTAACACTGATAGTGTTATAGTGATCTCGCCACATACCACAGGGTGAGCAACTCCAGGCCTCGAGGGCCTGTGTCCTGCAGGTTTTAGATATCACCCTGGGTCAACACCTGAATCAAATGATGAGTTCATTACCAGGCCTCTGGAGAACTTCAGGACATGTTGAGGTCATTTAGCCATTTGAATCAGCTGTGTTGGCTCAAGGACACACCTAAAACCTGCAGGACACCGCCCCTTGAGGCCTGGAGTTGCCCACCCCTGACATACCACATTTCCAACCATAAATCTGAGCGTACACACTTTCTGTCAGTCCTAGTCTTTCATCTACCAGCTGTTAGGGTTAATTACCTAATAGTTTTACTTTAATAAAGAGGCAAAGATTAAAATAAACCCTTTAATAATAAAAATAAAATTTTGTTTTAAAGTCTATATCTTCATGCAGCAGCTCTTGCATGAATCCTCCGTTGTACGTGTGCAACAGCAGCACTGATCTCTCGCCGAGTGATGACTTTCAACCTGTTTGACTTGGACAGCCGAGAAGCCTCTAAGCCTACAAGCCTGAGCAGGATCGGTCTGGGGACACCATGCCTCCTGGTCAGAAACTCAGGACTTCTCAGTCCAACAGGACTAACCTGCAGAAGAAGAATACCAAGAAAGTGCATGTGAAACCAGTCCCTCATCACATAGGAACATGTACAGGCCAGACAATTACAGTGTGCATTCTGACCTCTTTATGAGTTCTGTAGATGAGAGTGGAGTAAGCATGAATCCTCTTTTTTGTGCATGGAGGGATCCTACGCGTTGCATGAATAGCCGCCTTCATGTTTGCTGTGGCAAGTTCCTAGAAGGGGAAAAAAAAATTGTCATGAAGCGAAATCACCTAGAGCAACATGCAGAATCTCTTTTATAAGGCCACTGGTGAAAGCAAAAGGGCGCGCAGGGAGTGAAACTCGTGCTCTAATCAGCACAAATTGGCAACAGCTTTGCTTGATTAGGCTTAATTATTTTTACCCACCTGGCTTTAAAACCCTCAGTGGGAGGCGGGAGAAATGCCACGCTCAAACAAACACAGGAACAGGACACTCGCTTATTTTGTTTTTAAAAGTTGCTTCTGATGATAATTATCCACGTGCCTGTCACCTGCAGCATTTCAAATCCCCTCAAAAACTAAATAACTAAATAACATGAAATAAAATAGATCTATAAGCAATATATACAATGCATGCATTCATTTTTAATAAAACAGAGTATGTTTATGAGAGACTTTTGCCTACAGAAAAATGGTTTATGATTAAACAATAGTACATTGATACATTTGTGAAATAGTAATATCATCTATGTACTTAGACTCTTAATCAAATTATTATTTTTTTTAAATTTCTTAATTTAAATTTGTTTTTTATTTTTTTTAAACATTTTTTAAATAAAAATAAAATTAAACAATATATATGATACAATTTTATGTCACTACATCACAGCAAAGAATCAAGTATTAAAAACCAGGTTCCTTCATTCCTTCCTTCAAACCTAACGTGATAGTATAGAAGAGAACTGCAAACATTTGAGGATGACATCCAACTGCAGGTCCTTCTGTCCAATCATATGGATCACTAGGCCCAGCATCAGCCACCACCAGCATCCATCTCTCTTGCTTTCACTCTTGTACACACACACACACACAAAACTCTAGTGTGGCAATTGGGTGCGCTGGTGTCTTCTTTTTTTTTAATGCACGATTTTTTGACCTCTGTGGCCGCATGGAGATTTTCCAGGTATGATGGCATTAATGGTGATGGGTGAATAGCTGTAGGAGGGGCTTTGTTAGATAAGGATGGCATTAGATAAGGCCATTAGTGTCCCGTGGATTATTGTAATCCAGCCTTCCTATCACTACTAGCTTGAATGCTCAGTCTATGGTCAGTCTGGTCTGGTTTGGAGCGGGTTGGAAGATGGCTCTCATCATACAACATTTCCTGCTGGGCCTCCTTCTCCTGGGAACAAACGGTACAGTTTCACTCTTACAGTTGCACTGATATTATATTTTATTACCAGTGTGTGTTGTGTTTATTTACCTTTTCTTAATGTGGTTAAACTAACAGATTGATTCACAGATTTTAGTATCCAGAAAGGGTGACTATGATGCCCTAACAGTCCTGTTTTTTTCTTCTTCTTCTTCTGTGCCTCATCAACTGGCTTTTTTCCCTCCTGTCCATCTGAACAGTGTTCATCAGTATTTATGCTCAGGAGGTATGAAAAATCTCAGCAACCCAGCAAAATGTCACAGATGATTTAACTGTCACAGTGTCAGGATTTGCTTGTAAAGAAAAAGAAAGAAAAACAACATCAACAGCAAAACACAGATAACAGCCAGACCACAGTTATTATGTTAAATTATTCTCCTTTTATCATTTGTAAATGAGCTCTATGTCAATTTTCAGCTAATAAACGTTGTTTATGTGTGTCTGTATAAGAACCCTGGGGTGTGGACTAACAAGTCCTGCAAATGTGATTGTGATGGAGGCGAATCGCAGACGGAGGTTTACTCCATTGGGTCTGGCTCATCTTTGGTGCGAGGAGTGGACTGCATGCCGGGTGAGAGCCATTAAACGTCACTCTGAGTGGACATGAATCGTATAAGTAGCTTAAATCTCAATCACTACTTATTTTATTCATAACATCAGTGTGCTTTAACCCCCTGTGTCAAGACTTATTTACTAATGAGATTTATTACGTGACTTTTGCTGATCTACAATTGCACCACTAAAGTGATAATAGTTCTTAAAAGGAGAAGGGAAGGGTGTGTTAGATAGACATGAATTAACTGTTGTTTAACCTGCTCAAAACTGAAAGGTCTGTACTTAACAGTGATTTTTATTACTGATTAATCTGCTGCACAATCAGAGAATTGAAGCCAATTCAACTGAAGACAAAGTAAGACTGCAAATCTTCATATTTGAGGAGCTGAACGCTTTAATTTTCTGGGACTCTTGCTTGAAAATTGCTCAAACGATTATCACTGCTGATACAAGTAGATGGACAGTTTCAGTGTGTGCACAATTGTGTGTCTATAGTTTGTGTTCATGCAATGAGCGCATTAGGCTCCAGATTTGACGCCGCAGGGTGGATGGACATGCTTCACTGGACATCCTTGGAGAAAGGGAAGAAGAGGGGGGGACATGTGAAGAAACAGAAGCTACCTGTGATAACACTGCACAGTCCTCCAGAATTCCCATTTCAGTAACAGGAAACCTGCATTTGGATGTTTGTCAGAAACACTCAAAAAATAATCTCACTGCAGCGCCCAATAATAGCTGATCTTGAGTTTTCAATCGTACCATATTCATCCTCAAACTGAACTTTGCCAACTTAGCCTGGGATTTAGCTTTTAAACTAAATCCCAGTGAAATCTGTAAACCTGTTTTGTTTTCCTATTTTTTTGGACCTCCAACAAAGAAACTACAAAAAAGGTCTTCTGACAGCCTCACTTGAGCCTGAGAGCTAAAGATCAGATCTGAATCACGTCTGACTCGATGAGGAGAGGAGCTGACAAACGAGTGAATCAGTGTGTTTGAGCTGAGCTGCAAATCACATGGCAACCAGAAACAGATAGGAGGAAGAAGTTCTGCCGACTATCATTATATTAGAGCATGATTCGGAGATTACGGGGCTCATAATAGACCATGCTGATCTCACAATTACAGAAACCAGCAATTACCGCTACGTGGATGAGAACTGATGAGTGAGAAAGACTTTCCTGCCCGCTCTGCGTCAGGGTTCGCAGAGTTCCTCAATCCACGGAGTCTCACCTCGCAGTTTGCCTGTTGATTCAGCCATCTGAATATGTGTTGTTTTAGTCAGGAAACACATTAGGGAGGACTACAGAGGCATTTGCATTACTGTTATGTAAACACTTATCTCCTGACTCACACAGACGCTTCTGCCGGGTGTGTTGTAATACTGGGATTAGACAGGATGCAACCCTGTGCCAGATAGGCTTAAGCCAGTAGTAAACAAAAGAGCAGCAGGCTACTTCTACTACAGTTTCTGTTCCATGTGTCCACAGCTGATGTTTTTCTCACTCATGTACCACTGTCTCTCTCTCTCTCATTCACATATTTAAAGGCTTTATTTACCAAGTAAAGGAGTGGCTCTCGTGTGATTTTAAAGGAAGCGAGAGAACAACACGGAGCCAAAGCCACGGAGAGCAGAACATGGCCATCTGTCCGTCTGCTGCCCTAATGGACATCACTGATCTCTCACCACGGAGAATTAAACTGCAGGATTTTAGGATGGGATATGGGTCACACAGAGGCTCCTAACAGTGGGGGCCATGGGAGCGAGAGGGTGTGATTATGGGAATCTGCAGGGGTTAGGAGAGAGGAAAGGATGCCGAAATGGAGAATTAAGGAGAGGCTTAGTGGTTTGATGGTCTTTATATATATATATATATATTTTTGTGATGCACTGCTTGGCTTAAGCTAGCCGTTTGTATTCTCTTCTCTCAGGGTGACGATATTAAAATCTCATGGCCACGAGGACTTTCAGCGAAAGAAGACATATTACCTGAAACTAAGAGCGCTCATGTTAAGTTGTCTCCGATCTCCTTTGCAGAGTGTCCCTACCACAGACCTCTTGGCTTTGAGGCTGGATCAGTGAGTCAAGAACAGATTACCTGCTCCAACCAGGACCAGTACACTGGCTGGTTCTCCTCATGGGTACCGAGTAAGGCGCGACTCAACAGCCAGGGCTTTGGGTAGGTATATATATATATATAGGCCAGCACCACACAGCCAACTGTTGTGTCTCTTTTAAAAAAAGATCATGGCTCTTATCATCTGTGAGGAAAAGTGTAGTAAACACACTCCTTATGTATTTTTGTTACTTAAACACACCAAAATGCTCTTGCTTAAAAAACCATATAGATGAGACAAAATGGGGAAAAAAAACATACAGAATCTAGTAGGACTTTTTAAAAATGCTAAATATTGTAATTTTTAAGCATTAAGTTGGATCCTTTCTTTCATTTTCTCTCTTTCCGAAAACAAAACATCATATCGTATGTTAAAAACTGTCAGTTTCCTCAGAACACAAAACAACAGGATTTTATCTTTAGAGAAGATATTGTAAAAACAGCAGTAAATTTCTCTGTCCTGCGTTGTGCTAAACTGTCGTGACCAACTATGATATTTGTTGTATAAATCAGTGCTGATATTAAATGTTTTTCTTTCTCCTCCAGCTGCGCCTGGCTGTCTAAGTTCCAGGACAGCAGTCAGTGGCTGCAGATTGACTTAAGGGAAGTGACGGTGGTGTCAGGGATTCTCACTCAGGGCCGCTGTGATGCCGATGAGTGGATTACCAAGTACAGTGTTCAGTACAGAACAGATGAGAAGCTCAACTGGATCTATTACAAAGACCAGACTGGAAACAACAGGGTCAGTTAAGTGCACTTTGGATACACTGAATAATGTTCAACACTTCAAGTATGGAGGCCTGAAAGTGCCTAAATTAATAAATAATATGACATGAAATGTATGAAAATATAATATATAAAAATAAGGAGTCTCTATTAATTGACCTACAGTTCCTTTTATTTTTTCATCTTTTTTTTATGTATTTATGCAGTATTTGACAGTTGCATATAAATAAAATACAAAATCAAATGGAACACAAATAAACAGAGGAATCAATATAACAGTAACCTAATTCAAAAGACATTTATGTCAGCGAATTTAATTGCTGCCAACATTTTTTAAATATATTTTTTCTATGTATTCAATGATTTTTAAATTTATTTTTTGAGCCATTTATTATTCTTTTTATTGAAATTGTTTTTATTTAATGCCCTTCATACTCAGACACTGGAGGTTTCTTTTTGATTAGGCTAAGAATGAGGCTACATAATTCTTTGTCCATGCCTCTTTGCATGAAACATTAGGCATTTTATATTTGCCTGATACTGACATCATGAGAAGTCATATTTTAGAAGTGATTTAAACTGTTAATCAGTCATTGAAAACCAACTGAACGTTAACTGTTTGCATTAAAGCTACTATTTCTAGAACCACATGGTAGTTGACTTGCAATGGCCGGTTTTAACTAATCTACACCTTAATCTTGCCTTTCTGTCTTTCCTCAGGTGTTTTATGGGAACTCTGACCGGTCCTCGTCTGTGCAGAACCTTCTGCGGCCGCCCATCGTTGCTCGCTACATTCGCATCCTCCCTCTGGGATGGCACACACGCATCGCTCTGCGCCTGGAGCTGCTGCTCTGCATGAACAAATGCATGTAAACCCCCCCACCCCCCACTTCCCCCCAACCCCTTTAAAAAATACAAACAAAACAGCTAAAACACACTTACATAAATGCATTAAACCAGGTTTGTTTGATATGTACAATGAGCTCTCATTCACTCCACTCTGCATTGTCTGTATTAAACCAGTCTCACTATGGGGACTTCAATTTGGGGAGTTCTCAATAGATTGCTCCATTTGCAATGAAACGGCATAAACTGAAAGCAGTAATTAGGCATGGAGAGGGAGAGGTAACGTTGCTATGGCGGTTGAATCTGCGCTCATGTTAGAAATCCAAATCGTTCTGTGATAGGTCAATAAAATTCTGTCTGCTTCTCCTGATAATCTGAGCGTAGCTGGGAATTTACACAGTAAGTCTCCCCTCCTTATTTACCTTAATGAATCGGTGTGGTAGTAGTCTGCATTTTTCATATTTTCAGCAAATCCCATGAAAAGACCGAAAACAACAACAAGGTCATCCTAATTACAATTACTGTTTGCATTTACAGCATTTTTTTTTAATTCATATTTTCTTTATTTAATTTTGAATGTTTGTTTTGCTTTTTTACATTTCTAATTAATTATTTGTCCAAATATAATATATAGTAAACAGTCATATATACATAATTTATCATCTGGTGGGTCAAATTAGAACAAATGCATATTATTCTGCAGCTTAAACACCAGTTACCACCAGATTTTGTGCACAGCTGTTAGATAATCGGATAGGTGTAACAGACTGCTGTCTTTAGTCTTTTCAATGAATTTGTTAATATGGATTTTTTTTTTGGTCTTATTGCCTCATTTGAGTTACTGTTTTCTTGTTTGATTTTTTTGTTGTTGTTTGGTGCTGTTGTTAAAAATTCCTGATTGCTTTCTTTAATGTTATATTTGAATTTCCCATTACACTTAGGAATACATTGCAGAGCTGAATTGCTCTGAAGATGTTCTCTTTATTGTATTTTTAAACCATGTCCTTGAATAAACAAATATGTGTCTGTTTTTATGTTGCGTCTGTGCTCCAAAACAAACTCCGAGACATTCAAAAATGTACAGTTGGCATTTATTATGAGACCCTATCATTTTTAAAGTAGAACGGTCAGTATAGATACTCTGTTATTTTTTATTTACACCCTGTCAGAAGTGGGAAACAGCTTAATGACAAAAAAAGAGAATTGATGTTATAGGAAACACATTCATATTTCTGAACAAAAAGTCTTCTTCTCATCTCAGTTTTCAGCGTGTGTGACCTGCTGAGGGTTGAAGCCTTCATTTCCATCTGACGCGTTGAGTCGATAAACTAACGTAAGGCTTCGGGTCACTAGCAAGGTAAACTTCATCATCACTTTGTCCCATTAGTGATATAAACAAACCCATGTCAGCAGTCATTTACAATCATTAGCAATGAGGATTTTGTACACAAGCCCACAACATGGGACAGTTTTACCTTCTGTGGGATAAACTTAAGAAAAATGTAAAAAATGTATTGCAGAATGATGTGATGTCACATACCAACAGTTGCCAACACTTGCTGTAATCACAGTCTCCTGCAGGAAATCCTTCTTTGTGCTATATTTGGCTCAAATCCATCTAGCTGCCGATTTGGCTAATACAATCTGCATCACTCCGAGTCTTTTTGTGAGTGTTATTGCTTTCAGTCAACCATCAAGTTACTGTGATTGATTCTTATTTTCACCAAATGGGGATCCAAACTTTTCATGGACCATTCTTCTGTTCTTTGTTCCTTTTGTCTGTGATGGCATTTGGAATGCATTTTTTTGCTTTATGCTTTCAAATCACAAACGTATGAAAGGGAATTAAGACCACTGAAGAAAGAAATTTGAGGTCATGACTTTTTTCCCCTTCAAAATCCTGAGGAAAACAAAATCATAAGTCTAACTTTAAACTAAGAATGCTCTGAGGGAGAGATTTGTTTGAGAGTTAATCATAATTTTGAGAAGAATTCAGTTTTGAAGAAAAGACAGACATTGAGAAAACTGATCAGATTTTTGAGGAAAAGGTCAGAATTCTTAGATTAAAGACAGACTTTTGAGAAAAAGCCTGAATTGCTAAAATCAGAATTTTGAGGGGGAAAAAAAAGAAGAAAAAGAAGAAAAAAAAAGAGATTTGCAACTAAAGTCAGATTTTTGAGGAAAATGTCACAGTTCTTAGATTACATCCAGAATTTTGGGAAAAAGCCTGAATTACTAAAATCTGAATTTTGAGAAAAACAAAAAAAGTCAGAATTTCCCAATTGAATTCAGATTTTTGTGGAGAATGTTAGAATTCTTAGATTAAAGCCAGATTTTTGAGAACAAGTCAGATGTTTGAGCAAAATGTCTGGAAAAATAGTCAGAATCGTCAGATTAAAGAATTATGCAACTGAAGTCAGGTTTTTGAGAAAAAGTCAGAATTCTCAAATTAAAATCAGAATTCTGAGAATAATGCAACAAGACTGTTTATTTTGGTTTTTGTTCCCCCCCAGCGGCCTTAATACTGTTTTATATTAAGGAGGACAGAATGAAGAATAATGGAAAAACTGGGGGAAAACAATGCTGTATACTTCCCCTAGGCCACAAAATGTTTTTCATTCTACACACCTCAGCTTTACATTGCCCACAGATCAGAAGACAATTAGTAAATGCTTTAATGAACAATCAAGTTAAGTAAAATCATCCCTGATTATGACTGTTAATGTTAATAGTAATGCAAACTGGAAAATCAAATTCAGATTTACAAAAGACTTTTACAAAACTCTTGATAACACAAGCTTTTAAAATGCACACAGGAAATGTAAACACATATTATAGGATAAGTCTGGTGTTATTTCATATAATTCATGACGTCAGCAAAGTCCTATGAAAAGCCCACACCCAGCCAGTGGGGGAATGTAAGTAACCACATTCACTCAAGTACTGTACTTACTATATTAAAATGAGCATATTCTCTACTTTAGTTAATAACAAATTTCAATAACAAATTAAAATGAATCTAAAGATTTTTAGAGCACATACACCCCACTTTGGCTGCACAGACAATGCATTTGGAATTTCTGACAAAATAAATAAATAAATAAATGGATAAAGATAAAGTATTACCAGACTTATCCTTTAAAATCTTAAAGGTTGCAGGTGAGGTATGCCTTTTTGCAGAGAGCTTCCCTGCCGTCTCAAAACACTTTAAATTTTCAATGTCATGTTAGGTAAACCTCCCTCACTAGAGCTGCGTGGTGATGTGGGCGAAGATGCCCGTTAAATGGTTTTTAAGGCTGTGGACAAAACCAACATGGCAGCAACAAGATGCTGGAAAGCTGTTTGTCACTAAACGAACTGAGGGACTGAAAAATGGGCAAATTTGAAAACTGCGACAATGGGAATGTAAGATAAAATGACCTGACAATTACAATATGTGAAGCACAGAGCCTAACAGTCTCACTCTGGCTGTTCTGCTACCAAACCCTACTAACAAATAGCCCAACTTGTCACAAAACGTCAAAACTGATGTCATGAGGGTGATGGGCAGATTTGCACTATTTGTAATATCAGATATTTTATATATTTGTCAGTATTTCTTTTTACATTTTGATGAAACAATCAGAAAAAAGGGTAAAAACAACATAACATGATAATCTGCTAATAACATATCAAATCAAACAAACAAAAAAAAGACATTCACCATTATTAAATATTCCTTGTGACATATTGTATTATCAACACATAAATATCTATGCATTTCTTTGTGTCGAAACTAAAGCTCTTGCAATTACACATTTAATTCTATATTACCTTATAATATTCCCATATAACCTACATACTGTGTCATTTATAGCTTATATCCTTGAATTTAAAACAAATAAATATTTCATAAATAATGTTAATATAAATCATTTTTTATGTTCTTATCAAATATCAGAGCTTGAAAAACATTGGAGTTTATTGGCCACTGCTGTGACAGCGGCTGTCTAATGTGTTGCAGTAGCGTCCTGTGAGCAGAAGATGGCAGCAAAGAGGCCACATGGGCAGTGTCTCCTTGACAGGGATGATCAGCTTATTCTGATGTAACCTTGCAAGTAGAGACAGACAATAATATAGAGCTGATACAGTACTGGCATCTCAAGAAAGGATGGGCCCTTCCCTATCTTTGCTTCCCTAAACCACACTGTCCCAGGTGTTTGGCCGGTCAACGTCTAGGCTTTTAGATTTCAGAGGCATGAGCATCGACAGATTACTACATTTCTGAATTAGGACTTGATCCAGTGAAAAAGGCTCTTGTGTAGACCCTTACTGCAGTACCACAATGTCTGCATTCTGGCAGGTGCTTCCGGGATGGAGCTGCATCGGAGGTGGTGTGGTTGAGAGGTTTTAGAGGGCGGTCTCCTTCAGGTCGTTGAGGTTTGGCATCCTGGTGCGGGAGGCTCGGGTAAAAGTGGGTCCATTCTGACCCGGTTTGATGCCCAGCTGTTCAGGGGTGAACTGAGCGCCCTCTGCCCGCTGTAAAGCAGATACGTGCCAGCTGGACTCTATCTGTCCCGGTAGGGGGTAGCTGGCCTTGCGGCTCTTAGCCTGGGTGGAGCTGCTCACCCCAGTGTGCCCCCTGCTGTCGGCATGACCTCGACCCTCGGGGTAGCCTGCTTTGGAGGAGGGCTGAGGAGGGTTGGGCATGGGGGCTTGGAAGCGCAGGTCTTGAGGAGGAGGAGGAGGGGGAGCCTGTCCTTGATTTGAGGAAGAAGGGGAGAGGTGAAGGAGCCTACGTAGTGACTTGAGTGGTTGGCTCTGGCAGGGGGGGAAAGAGACACCACTGATGAATTATCTTAAAAAATAAAACTATATTTTTGTTATTGTTTACAAATCCCATGACCAAGTTCAACAGTGTGTCACATGTGCTGAGGCCATGTGACAGTATTGCAGGTAATTGTCTGTTGAATTCACATTGGCTCAAGGATGCTATCCCCAGGTAGCTATCTTGCCTAAAATGTGCATTTCGATTAGTGAGCATGGACCTGAGGAGGACCATCTCCTGCTGTGTGACACATGAAAGAAAGGTCAACTTCAGACAAAACCCCGACCTGATTCTCCTGACATTGTCTGGAGTTGATGGGTGAAAACGATGTTTTCTGTCTGCCGAGTACTAAAGCCAGTCTCACACACTGTTGGGAGAATCTAGGTCAGTCTCACATGCACTATACAGCAGGAGATCGTCTTTCCCCGCAACATTACCAGCTATATTCTTAAATTAAACAATTGCTTTAATAGTAAATAGCTGTCAGGATAAAACTGATTTTAATATCAGACATTTGTGTTTTAATATATCTTTTGTTAGGTAGGGTGACCAGATCCCAAAAGCTAACTGTGGGTCAAACTGTATGTTTATGTGGGACAAGGCAGGAAATGCTACTAATGTTTCGGTTACTTTGATTTTAATTAGTGGTTTGTGAAGAACAAATTGCAACATTTTAAGTCCCATTATAAATAAATGCAATAAAAATTCAATTCAAGCTTAAGGTTTGATTTTGTTGAGTACTTTTCTTTCACTCATTTATTCCCTTTCTGTCCCAATAACATTTAAACCTTAATGGTTATTCCAGCTGCTGTTCTCCCTGCTAATCATCTTTGGGTTTGAGTAAACCACTTGCTTCCTTTGAGACTAACACGTGTTGACTCCACTAAATCAGAATGTGGGGCATTGTCTCACTATGTGGGTTGGGGGAACGGAGGATAAAACACTGTGCTGTCCTACATTAAGTGGGACACCTGGGCGCCCTACTGCTGGGTAATGTCTGGAAAAGTTCAGGTCTACACTGCATGTGTGAAAATAGCTTCCTCCTTCGTACTCCTAAAAGCATGAAAGTAAATGTAGGAATAATGCAAGAATGGCATTAATACTAAATGTACTTCTACAAGGCCTGTTTTTTTCCCCCCATTCTTAAGGTTCTTCTTAAGGTTCTTCTTAAGGTTCAGTTTTAATAAAAACCTTTGACCTTTTATAGATTATACAGTTTCCCTTTCTTTGGGCCTTGAGTCTTGGGAGCTTTATTGTGACACTTTTTATGAGCACGGCGTTATATATTCTAGTTTCGTGACTTCAGTATATAATTTATAGGAAAACTTAAGTATGTATGACAAGATAAAGTATTGTTCTTTTTAAAAATCTAATAAAAAAAATCAGATGAAAGACTCAAACTGGGTTGTGATCTGCAGATAAATCTAAACTGAAGATTAAAGTAGGCACATACCTGAGAGTGTGAGTCCACTTGTTTGTCCGGCCAGTCAGTGACTCTCTCTCTCTCCCTCCCTCTCTCCCTTTCTCTCTCTCGTTCTCGCTCCCGTTCCCTCTCCCTGTCCCGGTCTCTGTCCCGGCTCTGTTCCCGTTCTCGATCTCTGTCTCGGGATCGCTCGCGGTTTTTCCGCCGGCTGCTGTGGTGAGAGGACGACTTGGAGCTCCTCTGCAGGGACAAGTGATCCTGTCCGTTCCCGGGAACCTGACGTTCCAGAAATAGAAATATGGAAGTGTTATTTTTAATCCAAAACAAATACATACACATCTCAATAAAATCCCGGTGAAGCCCTTCATGCACTGCTCTGGCAGAAACAGACATGAGACAAGAAAGTGGCGATGATGATTGTCTTATGAAAAAATGCTTAACTCTCTGCTCTGGTGTCTGAGTGTGTTTAGATAAACTTTAATATGAACTGGAGATGCAACTAATAATTAATATCATCACTGGGCAGTTTGATAGTTGGTCATTTGTTTGCATAAAAGGTCAAAAAGAAAAATGATACAAACCAGCGACAAACAGCAAATTCTTACTGTTGGTAAAATGAAACTAGTAAATCTTTGGCCTTTTTTCTTTTCGCTTCATACACAATTACTCAGCTTCATGTACCAGTTGGCTACATAAGAACTACTTAAAGTGTACTTCTTTTCCTTATTCCAGTTCTGTATTTTTTGGACTATATAAGGAGTAGTTTTGCACTGTTACTTCAAAGTATTTCATTGTATATTGTACACTCGTGCAGCCCTTCTATTCATCCACTGTCTGAAACAATCTGTTTTAGCTCCTCCTTCTTTAACTCCGCCTCAGTTTAATACAACTTTCATCTGATTGGTCGCCCTTTACAAACAAAAAGTCTTAAAAAAATTGGGTGGGGCTACTGTGCTTACCGCCAGATCTGTCTAGCTGAGTTGACCATACTAAGAAGAACAGATCAAACAATTAAAAAAAAAACATTCTATAAGTATTTGTTTAAAGAAGTTTAGCCTAAGCTTTTACCTCATAGGGATTATTTGCACATAGCAGCATCATTATCAGAAAATGTAACCAGGTGCACTACAAGTAAAGAAACAGAAAATAAGGAAAAGCATAATCAGCTTCCTTTAGGAAGTGCTGATAAGTTGAATTATCTGCCATTTTCCCTGTTTCCAGCCTTGCTAAGCTAGCTAGTTAGCCTAATCTAGCTCTCAGAAAGGAGCTAAATGAGCACATTTTATGAAATAACTATTCATAATTTCAGCATTATTACACAACATAGCAAAGAGACCAGTAATTTCTACAGCAGGAGTGTGTGTTCATGTGCTGAACATGTTCGTGACCCTCTCATGATAAAATGATGCCTTACGCTGGCCTGACAAACAGCACACTGCACGCTGAAATGTCTCACGATGCAATGTGAGTGCAACGTGACTGCATTTGACAAACGTTATAGCAAGACAAAATGGATGTGAAAACAGCGTGCAGCATTAAATATATAAATATATATATGTTTGTGTTTGAAATCCTTTCAGCAAAAAATTTTCTTTAGCCAATCAATCAGTCAACTGAGAGGATTTCAAACTGGGTCATTCCAGTGAGTGCAAAATAAGTCAACATGCAGCCACAGCGTCGGGGTTAGATTACTGGTGAGGCAGGGTAGGGCGCGGCAGGCTGGTGTTGTACCATAGGCGAGGCGACTACAGGTAGGACTTTGACAGCTGAGTTGTGCTTTAAGCTATTTTTAGAGCTAAAGAGGGGGAAAAGGCTTTTCTTGATGCTGGGATTCCTCCCGTCCTCCATGTCGGTCTGTGGAGCAGAAGATGCACAGCCACAACTCTAAACACAAATCTCTGACATCCAAGAGAAGAACAACTGCAGAGGAGGAGGAATATGTGATAAACAGGAAGCAAAAAAGAGACGGTGAAACTTCAGAGCAACTTTTGCTTTAAGATATACTCGACAATTTTAAGAGCTTTCAAATAAAATCGAATTTCCCTTTAATCTTACTAGATGTCAGTGTAAAGCTCATATGAAACATTTTTGCAAGAAAATATTGACACTGCAGATCCTGCCTTACAATCAGTACGTGCTAAACTCAAAAGGCGCACAGCACATGGAACCAAAATACAAATAGTTGATTTGAAAAACCAGGTGACAAGAATAATCTTATTAATAAAAAGTCATTAATAATCTTACTATTTGTGACTTCTTCTTTTTCTTTTTAATGGCTCTGAAGAAGCCTTGCTTTTCCTTCTCTTTGGCGGGCTCTGGAGGATTCATGACCATTGCTTCTGCAGTAGTCCTGCATGGCAAATGTGGAAACGCTTCATATAACTTGGATTATAACGTGCATGGGAGCAAACAAAATACATAATACAGTAATACATAGAAACCATACACTATGAAATAACACATGCAGCACAGTAAAGGAGTCTAACTTAATAATCCTCACGATTTACAATTTCAAAAGTCATTACGTAAAAAACAATATACTCTTTCTGAGGAACTCAGGCTTCTTCTGCAGCCACTGCCACCACATACAGTCCACTTGAAGAATAAACAAAGCAAAACACAGTTTTGTGATTTTGGTCCATGTTGACATGATAGCATCACAGGTTCATTGGTTGCACATCCATTATAAGAATCTATGGTTCCACTACATCCCAAACATGCTCTATTGGACTGAGATCTGGTGACTGTGGAGGCCATTTAAGTACAATGAACTCAGTGTCATATTTAAGAAACCAGTTTGTGATTTTTTTGAGCTTTGTGACACGGCACATTACCCTGCTGGAAGTAGCCATCAGAAGATGAGTACACTGTGGTCATAAAGGGACGGAAATGGTCTACTCAGATAGGCTGTGGCATTTGAACAATGCTTAGTTGAGGGTAATTAGGGTCCCAAGAAAATATCTCTATACTAGTATCTGGTATATCTCTACACCAGTATGAGCAGCCATAACCATTGACAGGCAGGATAGAGCCACGCTTTCATCTTTTTATGCCAAAGTTTGACCCTAAAATTCAAAGGTTGCAGCAGAAACTAAGACTCATCAAACCAGGCAGCGTTTTCCACTCTTCAACTGTAAGGCTATGAAAACATCAGTTTCCTGCTCTTAGCTGGGAGGAGTGGCACCCAGTGTGGTCTTCTGCTTCTGTAGTCCATCTGCTTCAAGGTTCAGAAATGCTCTTCTGCATGCCTTGGTTGTAAAGCGTGTTTTTTTTTTTGATTTACTGTTGCTTTCCAGTAACCTTGAAGCTGTTTGACCTCTTACACAAATAAGGCTCTTTCACCCAGAGGCTGCTGCTCACTGGATATTTTCTCTTTTTTGGATCTATGTAAACCCTTGAGATGACAGTGTGGGAAAATCAGAGTAGATCAGCAGTTTCTGAAATGCTCAAAAAACAACCATACAGCATTCAACGTTACTTAAATCATCTTTTTTCCTCACTTTGATGCTCAGTTTGAACTTAAGCAGATCATATCTACATGCCTAAATTCACTAAGGTGCTATGTGATTGGCTGATTTTATTATCTCATGGAATAACCCATCATATATATATAAAGAGTTTATATGTATTCAGTGCAGCAGCACAGAGTCTGAACAATAGATCTTAATTGGTGTTAATGACACAGCGAGAAAAAAAAAGTCAGACACTTTAACAGCAGGGATGATGTTCAGATCGGGGAAGGAAACTATAAAGAAGAAAAAACCAAAACAAAACGTCTTCATCCATGAATGTCCTGCACGTCTGACACACTCTGTACTGGACGTGCACAATTCTAACAGCAGGCTTAACAATTTAAAAGTTGTTCATGTTTCTTTAATCCACTGTTGTTCCTACATTTACTGCACTGCTGCCTCAACATGCCACATAAAGACTACAAATGAACTCTCACCAGTCAAAAGCTGTCTGGCGTTTGGAGTGGTTGGCCATGGCGACAGGGTCTCCGGGTACAATGGGTACGACTGGCCCTCGACCCTGGCCGACGCCGTCGTGGAAAGAGGAGTTATCTGGCCTGGGAGAAGGGACTGAGGAGAAACAACGAGAGGTGGAAATGACTGTTTTTGATCATTTAAATATGATGAATGTGTGATCTTTGATCTTCTTTGTGTCAAAGGAATAATAAACAAAAGAAAGAGGAACCATACAGGTTTTACTGTTATTTCTTGCTCCTTACCTCGATAAAAGCTCCCTACTCTCCGAGGCATGGACTCAGTGAAGATCATCCGGTTCTCCTTGGAGGAAGCTCCGTCCTCAACGTGAGGGTCGTGGTACATGCCAACCTAAAGAGTGCACACATCGTGCAGACCCACGAACACACACAGGGAAACAGGAACATACAATTTTTTTCTCAGCCTTTATCGTTTTAAGCGACATTCCTGTTTAATCTCACTTCATCCCTTATCATTAGCTATCGCAGTCTTTTCTGGCTTACAACACAAACATTCAGGACATCTTAGCGCTTTTCAGTGAGGCTACATTTATACCAGCGACAACGTGCAGTGAAGCTGTTGGCTTAAGTAGGAACACAAAAAGAAAAGCAGTCAGAAGAGCTACTCTCTGTGTTTGTTGAACTGGCTGGAGACAGGGAGGAGTCGGGGGGTCGGACCTCGTTTTTAGAGCGCTGTGTAAGAAAAGCAGCAGTGTTGTCCCGCGTAGAGTCTTTGATGGGGGCACAAGGGTGGCTCATGTCTTTAGGGGACTGCTCACTCTGTTGAGAAGACGGACAGCTGCAGGTCAAAGCAGACTGGAGAAGCAGCATGAAGCAGTGGCAATGATAATGCGAGACAGTGACACTTCCTACACACACACGCACATCAAATCATGAAACACCCATACTCACAAACACACACAGACAGTCAGTGCACATAACAAAGGAACATTTCACCCTTTGTTCCGCTTCCATTGTTTAATATCTTCCGCGGATGGGCTTTCATACATTTCAGGAACTGTAATTTTGTCTCTGTGTGATTTTTCACCAACCTGCCTCATCCTCCATCATCTTTCTGTAACTTAGAACAATTCCAAGAAAACAGCCCCAGTTATTATTGCCTTCAGACGGGCTTTTAAACTGCAGACGCAGAGCTTTAGTGATCGTGTTTGGGAAACAGAAAAAGGTTTTCAAGCACTTACTGAAAAGTTAAAACATTGACGCTGCACCCACCTCCCATTATCTCACGAGAAATTCAGTTAAAATGTCAAAGTCTTTTACGAATGAGCAACACCTCACCTGCCTTTTCTGTTGACCTTAGTGCTTTCCAATCACCGTCAACATCCCTTTCAAAAAGTTTTTGACACATCATTTATGCGTTATTGTGCCACTATTGCTGTGGAGGTTGAAATTTTGTGTGTTTTGAGCAATTTTACTTGTGTTTATGACTTATTTCTATTGTGCATGAGTAAGCGGCAGCCTGTTTGGAAACACCGAAAACAGTTCCTCGAATGGCCACTTGGATCGGACTTCTGAACTAATTCATGTCATTGAAATGCACCATTTGACCTTGTTTGTGGTTTGCTGTTTAATTAATTCTACTAACATTAGGACAAATGGGTTTAAAAGTGGGGCAAACAACAATTTTAGTTCTTTTTAATTTTGGAGGACTCTGGACTGGGTCGTTAAAATGTGGAGAGATCATGGTCAGATAATTCTGGCAAAAAGAATGGCAATGTGTTTAGAAATCCTTATGAGCAATGACTGGTGTTGGTTTTTCAGATTGGTGGGGAAGTGTGTGGGGAACTACAAAAACTGCTGTCATCATTCAACATAATGCACCCTAATTTAAGCTTTTCATTGTGTGTCTGTTGCTATTTTAGAACCAATCCCGCCACGTTCGAGGCACTTTCTGCCACTAACCCTCGTCATGTCGTCCGTGCAGTCCTCCCTCGAAGAACTCACTGAGTGTCCAGCGAGGGTGGTCCTGTGCTGCAGCTGTGGGGAGAGGAGCTGCAGGCTACTGGCTCGTGTTGGTATCGCCTGACCCGGCGGAGGCAAGCCCGCCATCGCCGTCTCCACTCCGTGTGGTCGGTGGCGTTCCCTTCTCACGTACATGGAGTGGCGCTGTGGCCGCTGCTGAGAGGAGAAAGGCGAGGTATAGCCGAGGCCGTAATGATAAGACTCGTGAGGGGAAGGCAGAGTGTGAGTGGAGGGCATCCCAGGTCCTCCTGGGTCCAAGAGCTCCGGCGCACCAGCGTCCTCTGGAGACGGGAAAAGAAGTCAAAGTTAGCAGAGCGATAAGAAGTGAACAGTTACAAGTGTTCTACTATTTAACTGTCCAAACTAATTTAAGTGATCAGGCCAATCTTTTTTTATTTTCTTGTTTGTTCTTCTTGCTGGAATCCACTGTGATGATGTGTTTTGTTTTTGTTTTTTTATAAAGCTTTTAAAGTGTAAAATGAATAGACTTGAATGAAACCTACCTGGCACTAAAGATTTATGTCTGGATTTGTGCCTGGATGAAGAGTCCAGCGTGCTGCTCTCCATGCGGGCATTGCCGCTGCTACGAGAGGCGGGGCTGTGTCCAGATCGATCACTGTGTCGAGTAGAGGGGCTGCCAGGAGGCCCAGAAGGACCTGAAGGGGTGTTGAGGTCTAAACAGCTGGCAGGGAAGAAGCGGGCACTGGGTCCCACCCCAGCTGTCGTGTTAGAGTTTGGGTCATCCGGGTGGAGTCGACCGTCGCTGAGATTCCCCACAGATTTGGCATCGCTCAGTCCGCTGTGGCTCTTGGACAGACTGAGATAAGACGCTGAGCTCTTAGAGGATGAGGACATGGATCCGTGGGCAGAGTCGGCCATACTGTGGGCGTGTCGACTGTGTTGTTTTTCTGCCCCAGACTGTAGGGTGTTAGTTTTGTTTTCCAGGAAAGTGTGCCGACTGACCTGCTGCTGCTGCTGCTGCTGCTGCTGCTGTTGCTGCTGAGAGCGAGAGGAGCTGGGTTTGCCGTGGCCATACTTTACCCCATGTCCCTGGTCCGGCAACTTCGGGGAGGGTCCCAAGTTGAAATCAAACTCTGTTTTGCTTTTGGATTCTTTGGGGCTGAGCAGGTGTGGCAGGTTGTTGTTAACCAGATCTTTGCTGGAGGAGATAGAACGATTAAGAGTCTGGGACATGTACTGGCCCTTGGGGTGCAGAGTCGGACTTAAACTGGATGGTGCCGGTTTGTTGCCGTTGAGGAAACTCTCATTCCCGAGGTGATGGAGGTCTCCGTGGCGAGGGAGGCTGGAACATTCTTTGCTATTGGAACGACGGCTTGAACTCTTAGTGTGACTCCTGTAGGAGCAGAGGGACGGCCGTTTAGCATGGTGTTCTAATATTTACCGCTGTAAACCAAAAACACCATCTGGATATGACAGTCTATGTTTTTAAATTGAAAATAATCTCTTATACAAATATTACAACCGTTTATTAAAGTTTCCTATATGACATTACAAAAAGTTTAAATAGCTATACTATTTTACTTTAAAAATATATTTAAAAAATTCATTTTTAATAACCCCCCCCCCCAAAAAAAAAACACTGATCTGTCCGGTTTCTAAGACCTTGATTCGTGGCTTATTAGTTTGATGTAGTTTTACCAGCCTTGATGATCCATCATCGAGAGCTGTATCTTGGTCAGAGAACTAAAAGTGTAACTTTCAAGCACCAGAAAAAGCATCTTATTAAATCAATCTATATGATTTTCCTGTCAGCATGGTGTCAGAACCAAAGTAGTTTACGTAAAGTGTAACTATTCTTGC